CATGTATAATTTTCCATATTCATCATTGCAGGTGTATTTGACATGTATTGAGTAATAAAGCTAACCAATCTCTGGTTTGGCTGCTTGATTTGTGTTAGGAACAATCAGGAATGATTCCAACTTGAGATCATTTCTGTAACAAGGGCCCCTGTGAAAACAGCCGTATGTAGGCTGGATGGGGTCACCCAGCACCGTCCTGTAGCTAACCAGGAGGTATGATGATGTGTGTGTGGCCGAAAACCGGAAATTGTAAGTTTCCTTGGACTTCTAGGCTGTTGAAATAAACGAAAACAGTGTCGTGATTCTGCAGGACGTTCACCTGTCAGTACCTAATGTGTTTTTGTCCGTGAGGTGGGCCGTACCCGTAGTGCGTGTTGTTTGTATGCCTGCGTCGTGACATTGTGTACATCGTTGCCTTTGGGTCGCGTCCAAATTCTTTGAAAATCGTAAACAACCAATTACTAGGAAACATCAGGTTGTGTAACAACGTTAACATCTATTGAAAACAGCGTTCCGCTTTATTGTTTCCAGCTACAAGATCTTCAGTTTCGCCTAATAAAAGTACAGTTCTTCACAACATATGGAGTTAAATACATCTTACCAAAAGTCAGTTTATGTATAGACCTTTGCAGGCTAAAGGGTCGAAATCAGTCTAAAAGGGGTATATAATTGGCCAGGGGAGTTAGCCGGTGTTCTATGCCATAGTAGGACAGGCCCTTAGCCAACACAGAGCGGTTTTTACACAAGGTGAAATTGATGGGGATGCCCTTCATGGACCCCACCTCCTCCTCAACATCAGGCTTCCGTCCGTCCGTGTTAGTCAGTCCCAACACGAAGTCTGTTGAAGATGAAATGTGCGGCTGTACAAGCATAGTTAACAACAAGTATCTCTTATACTACGAACATCCTGACCAAAGGGGGTCGATCTTAGGTGACAAACAGTGCTGTTTACACATGAGAGCGGCTCTCCTGGGCTGTTGACCTGGAAAAGGAAGACAGCTCGACAAAAAGGTGGCCCGCACCCTGACAGCGGCGTCTTCCGCTCTTGAAAAGAAATGAGGTAACCTTTCACCTGCGCACGCTGGTAAACACTCGTGTTTACAGGAAGGTGGATGACCTCTAGTTGACCGGGTTTCTTCGAAAAATGGAAAGTCATCTTTATGTAAGGGTATCGTTGTCACGTGATCCTCTGACCACGGAGACTAATTTATTATCTCTCAGGCGTAAACGACAAAAATCACCTTTCAGTTGAGGAAGTTACTGCGTGCTCATGAGTAGCTAAACGATATCTAGTGAAGCAATACTTTGCAAATTTCCAGAGTTCAGATGTTTTCAATTTCTTCTTGTTTTGGTGTCTATGGCAAAACATGGATAGTAAATTGCAAAGGTTGACTGTCAGCCTCCCTGTGCCCTCTAAAGAAAAGCCCTGACCGTCCCAGCAGAGTTATTATTGTTACCGTGCCAGGTAAACAGGTGTTTGACCTTGATCGATTGCGCTTTCGTCGTGTGACGTCATTTCAGCCGTCCTTTCTTACGATCGAAAACAAGGCATTTCTATAGGGTCCAACGTCACCATTTCTATTGTGATGTGTTTTCAAAGTGCAACATAGGAAAAGAAAGTCAACATTTTAATCAGGGTACTATTGTATAGCCGTGAGTGTGACTCTGCTCATGAGGCCTTTCTTTTATTAATCCTTTAAGAAATAAGCACCGACGGTCTTCATTCACCTTCGCTTATGCGAAAAATGCGGGATTGTGAACAAACATTACATCACCCTTCTCCAGTTTCTATAACAAATATTTTTGGAGCGGTTAAGTGGTCGAGATCTGTACGCAGGAATGCAAACTCTGAAAGAAAATCTACCCATAGAAAACATGACGTGCGGGAGAGGCGAGCTGAGTAGAACATATAACACTTAACAGGTCACTCAGGTCGATATGCAGGTTGGGCTGGTACGAGTAGTAATGTAGAGGAGGATCTATGATAGCCATGCACCATGCATGCATAGAAGCTCGTTCAAATCATGCAAACAACACTTTACGCTCCTCTACTGTCATCATCATCCTCGGTACTGCTTTTAATGGCCAGTGCAGCGAAAAAAGGATTATCATCAGCTGCGCATGCGCAACGTTAGTAGGTGCAAACAAAAGTTTGGCATGGGGATGGAGGTGGTCATGTGCGATTGTCTATTGATGGTAATACCTATATATAATTACCTGAGTGTCATACATATACTTGTATATGAAATAGAATAAAAGAAATGTGTATGCCTATGATATCTGCACATGTGCATCCCACTGAATCGACTCAGTATGAATATGCCCATTGCGTGCCGTATCTAGATATTCGCAACAGAAATGTATCGAGAGCAAAATGCTTTTTCTCCTAGATTCTTGACATGACTTAAATCCTCAGATTTGTCTTGTATACATACTTGTCCCGTGCAACCATGGTCTCGTTTTTGTTTTGATCAAATGTGTTGGATTCTTGTGGATTACAATTCTGCCAGGAGAATGCCAGGGAGAAATATTATCCGGGCAAGTCTTAATACCTGGCATCGTTGTGAAGGCTGCAACCGGACAAACATTCAGAGTAAGAAAGAAAATTGCATATGTTTGAAGACTCGAGGTAAACTACAACCTTACAAACGTTTCTTTCGTATTTTCTGAGATTATTATACATGTAACTGAAGATTATCCATCAGTGATTACATTCATAATCGTAACAATTCTACATCGGCACATACTGTATCGGGGAAGACAAAGCCGTTTTCCCTTAGCTTGATTTGCTTTACCCGTGTTATAAGTGTTGTCTCATATTTGCAGCAGAGAACACTCCCTGGTCAGTGGCTGGTCAGCGCTTGTCCTTTCCTATCAGATGTCAGTTAAGTATGGACTTGTGTCTCGACCACGGACAAGTTATGTCGACATGGTCATAAAGTTGCTGACATGCCGTGTAACAGGGCACGACTGGACAAGAACACGATATGTTGTTTTCGAGCCCCACCGTCTACATATAGGTGTCTGCTGTTTACTTGGGCAATAACTGTCAGTCTCCCAGCAGATATGGTGAGGGGGTCGTGACGTTTTTCTGACCCCCAGGCGTCAGCCCTCCTTGTCAGCAAACCGTTACAGTCTCCCACCGCATCTGCTTGGAGATGACATAGGACTGGATGGTACGGCCATGTGTTAGGTCGGCTGGATGACCTGGATATCTAGCTATGTATTGCACCTCATGACTTCAATGAAAAGCGACCTGTAGGGCGCTTCTTCAATGACATCGACTTTGGCTGTACAGGCGATAGGGGGAAGTTGCAATGATATGCTCAACTTCCTCTTGAAACGCCCATCTCTATTCATACCTGCCTACTACCTCAAATCTGATCATGGTTTTTGTTTTGATGAGGAAATATCCTTGGAAATTTGCCAGTCAATGTTGAAACACACATTTCAAACATATGTACAAGGACTGCCTTGGCCTGCACGTAGGTCTCTGTTGTTCCTTATCACACATTAAGCGGTGCCAAACAGAGATATACTGCTGTCTTCTCGGAAATTGTTATCGTCCTAAAGACGTGACTGTAGGCACGTCTGGAGTTAAGGCAGCGTACAGGGCAGAGCAGCGAGAAAGCTGAGCATTTAGCACCTCTCAATTTACTTTGTTTCCAGTATCAAGTTTCAGAAGACCAGTGAAGGCTGAATCCCCGCTTACGGTAACCACACGTTCTTACTTTGACCACGACTGTCCAAACTACACTGCCTATCAGACCTGTACAACCAATTTTCACATCTCTGAAGAAGACATAATTGGGATATTGCTACAGCTCCCTCTGTGTTGAAGATAAGGTGTAATACAGTAGTCAGACCCCAGACTCCCCAGGTACGGCACAGATCATCTAATCCGCCCAGGCCCTCTCAGGACAGACCGGTACCTGTCAATCAGGCGGCCCGTTGGCGCGGGGTTATTGTGAGCAGGCGTGCCCCGGGCTTGTGTCACCCCGGGCGCACGTGCCCGCCTGTCAGACCGCAGGTGAGACAGGTCACCGGTCAGTGACTGACACTACTGCCCGCCCTGCACTAATGTGGCGTGGAAGAAGACTCAAACAGCCATGCACGCCAGGAGTGTGGGCAGGAACAATAAACAAGGAGACCAACATAGTCCGGGATACCACAATGTGTATACACCTGTACACAATTTTACAATATACGTCATCATACTATTATGATATTTGAGTACTTTTTAAGCAATAGTCGGTTTCGTCTTAAGATGGTCAAAATATGAAGTTCCCAAGTTCTCTTTTCAATTTTGCATGTTACACTGAGAACGGTGAATAACAAAGACTTATGATATGATAAGTCCAACACTGAGACTTCCTCGTGATTGAGAGAAATAACGTAATAATTAAGTGGTGCTGCATGCAGATCTACACATTCCGTTACTTGGCCGTTATATTTCTGTGTTGTGGGCCTAAACCAATGCTGTCCCTTTTTAATTGTTTTTGAAAAATGTGACAAAATTGTACTCCATTCCTGCTTGTGTATTTTGAGTTTTGAGCAAGAGTTTGAGTTAAATCTAACCTCCTTGCATAAACCCAACAGATCCTGCTCTGTACACAGGCACACAGACGCACAGACAGAGGCTGTACAGAGGTCAAGGCTGATGAATTGGACTTGTCAGGAAGCGTTCCTGAATCTTGTCTCTGAGAAGGAGCTAATGCTGATTTCAGAAGCTCCTCTGGAGTTAAGGTATACATTATACATAGCGCCGGGTAACACTTAAGCGTTGACGGATGGATAGTGAGAGGGCCCGGCACGCGTGCGGCGCAGTGTAAGGTGACCACAACACCGATTTCCCCGTGCGTTCCCGCCCTCTCTCCGGCAAAGTCCCTCCCCTTAGCAGAAAAACAAGATTGTTGTCTCGGCGCCAAGTAGTCTCACGTGTTGGCTTCTCTGACTCTTCGGACACTTTCCTTGTTATTTTGGTAAATACGAGTAATCGTCCATGAGGCGTCCCCATTGGTGGAGCTAGCCGTGGTGCTACTGTGATTGACGTGTTGGAAATCCGACATGCCTACTGAATATGCAAGGAGAGCGTCATAAATAACAGCGTGCTGTATAAAAGCCGGTTGAAAAACAACTACAGTTACATTTGCGGTGAGCGTGCAAGGAGGTTAGCGGCGAAACGTCGGAGGAACAACCGTGTGTGGGTTTTTATTTGCGGCGTTTCTACTGAGAACCGACGGGCTGTAGTCCATAGAAATGAGAACCTTCCAGCTGTTGTTTACCCTGGGCTTGGCGGTGGCGTCCTACACAGGTGAGTACAGACATATTTTCCTGGGTCGGGAAGCAATGGCGTGTTTTCAGCAAATTGGAAAATATCTCCTAGCAAACAACGTCGGCTTGGAATTGTTTTGTTGAGAAAAAATGAACAGATAATTTGTTATTTAGGAGTGGTGCCCCCTAGGTGGAAAAAAATCCACTCATTCATTAAACAACCATTCTGTCTGTGCCACCCGGTAGCTCGTCATTTCCTCTTTAGCAAAATAACAGTCAAGTTCACTGAATAGTAATATAGAGATACAGCAGAGTCTTTCCTCATGACCACAGTTTTAGGCTCATTTAGACCTTAGCTTAGGGATCGGTGATTTATTTGTCTCCAAGTTGACCCATTGGTTTAGATGCGGTTGGGGGTTGTGGGGCGTGTGGCTGTTGGCTGAGGGGCGCTGAGCCGGTGGCAATGGTCGGTGTTTATCTTGTGGTTTGGCGATTGTGCCAGTCATGAGTCAGTATACTCAATAGGTAGCCCGATTGTTCGGGACGGACCATTATGTGCAAAAAGGTCGGCTTAGCGGAGATATCGACTGACTGAACACTGGACAAAGCGACGTGACTGACTTAAGTCATGCAGAAGGGCAACCAGAATGAATAACATACGAAAGGTCGAGATGCCTGTCCAATGAGATTCTGTTCTGAACGGGGCTCTCTTTCTGTATTGATGCTGAATATATGTGTATCAGACAAGAAACCTACCTCCTGAAAACTGATTTTATAATTACCCTTTTGCAAGAATGCTGCGTCTGTTGGGTGTTAAAAAAATAACTGTTGTTTGCTTGAGGAAGCGTTGCCACGCCTAGCGTGTCCACCTAGAGCGGGAAATCCTCCGTAAACACCTCACTCTGCAGGGAAACGGGTCGGAGGGACGCACGCTCGTCAGGCGCCATATGTCGGCGTCGTGAGGTCAATACACGGAATTTCCGAAGAATCTTGTCATTCTAAGTAGGAAAAACAAAGTTGTGATTAAATTTACTGTGGAACATTTTTACACCACAGTGCCAGACGGCTGCAGGGGCACGGATTAGCCCCCGTGTGTGTTTGTTCTGCTGATTGGTGATGTACAAATGAGATGCTCTTTCTCCAAGTTTGATGTTACTACTGTAATCCACCAAACATCTAGACTTAGTTTGTGAGCACAGGAATGTTTGCGATGTCCGCTCGGATCAGCCTACATTATGGATGGTGTGGCAGAGTTCAGTGACCCCGTGTGTAAGGTGACACCTGAGGGTGGGGCGGGACAGTTGTACAGGTGATGCCGGTGTCAGCCTTCCCGCGCGCGGGACAATACCCATATAGAACCGGGTCGGGACAGGCAGAGATAGATATGGAAACTGGGAACGGCACGGGAAACTTAGGAAGTGAAAGGCTGATACTTCCTTCTTAGTACAAAGCGCAGAACAAACTCTATAAATCAGGAACAGATTTACTTACAATGACGTCATGTTAACTAACATTAAGATCTATAGTATAGTAGCTATTTTGGTGCACAATTACTGAGAAATTGTAAAATTGATAAAAGAATCCTTCAAATTAAGTTGTGGGTAAAGTTTGTTTCCCTGTGAATAGTGACCCCTGGATGCCATCAGGGCACATGTCCACCAGTCTTCCGTGTCAGCTTAGAGCAGTCCACTCGGAGGTGTAAGCAGCCGTTGACAGTTGTGTTCCAGACTTGTCTGTTCTAACATATCTTCCGTTTCTCATCCACAGCCCAAGTGCCAGTGGGGAAGCCTGCAGAAGTAGTGCCCTCTACCGAACAAAAAGGAGAGGTGCAGCAGTACATGGAGGTGGAGGTGATCGAGAGGCCCAAGCCCCGACAACGGAGTTTCCCTCCCAGCAAGTGCTGCTCCATCGGCAAGCGCGTGGCTCTGAAGCAGTTGTCCTGCTCCGTGGACGTCCACCAGGTGGCCAAGAAGAATAACGGAGCGCACAAGAGGAAGATGAAGTTCCACGGGTCCGAGCCGGCCGGCAAGCGGAACCAGAAGGGCCTGATGCGGAAGGTGGAGAAGTGTGCTCCGCTGAAGGACTCAGCATCCATGTTTATGAAATGTTGCCAGGTCCAGACGCACTACATGAAGAAGGTGGACCGGTGCCGAGACCTCCCTACCCGTAAGCAGCAGAGGCAGTGCCGCAGAGGACTGAAGGCCGAGAAACCCGGCCGACGGATGCGTCCTAACAGAGAGTAGAACACCTGGTCTCAGAACTCTGTTCTTACCATACATTCCTTTGTGAGAAAGGTTACCTACGAACTCAGGTGCAAACGAAACAGTTATCGCTTTGTATATTGCAGTGTCAGCAGAAGGTATGTTATGTTTGGTCACATGGGCAGCAGCATAAATGTTAGAATAGCATTAGTACGAGCTCAGAAAGACTTGTTGTAGACATGTTGTTGTAAGGTTGTCCATATCTGATGTTTGTTTGCATACCAAGACCTCTGCGTCCAAACGCAGGAGATTTTTTCTTGAAAGATGACTAAGGAGGTTGTAGTGAGGACCTCTTCTATTTCAGTTTAATAGTAAATGTATTTTAGTACATTTCAGGAGCTGCGGTGCTGATGCACAACTCGTAAGACTCACGTAGGTGCAGGACCTGTGAAATCTAACCAACACTGCCGGACATGGGATAACCTTGTACTAATGTATATTTATTGTGACATCCAGTGCTGTATACACCGACAATGTGTATTACCGTTACAGACCTGGGCATGTGTTTACGTTGACCAATTAGCCAGCTTCTTGTTGCACATCATGGCTGTAAGCCAGGATTACTCCAAGCCCCGGAGTTCCCTTGTTTATATTGTGAATACTGAAGCCCCCAGGATATATTCTGGATAGTGCAAGTCCTTGTTGTAGAAAAACAAGTCGTGACGGAGAAAAGAGATCCCAGATGTGTAAGGGCACATGTGTGCCCGGTTCATTCATCGTCATGTTGATACCTACATTGGATAAGGGTCGTTCCCTAGCGGTCAGCTGGTGAACTGCACGCCAGAAATATTTTGTACATATGAGTGATCCGAGTCCTTATAAGAATCACGCGAATGTCGGAAAATAAAATGTTACAAGTGACCGTTGTTGCATTCTTTGAATTGAATAATCTTGCTCAAGACTTAAACCACGAATTGTTGAATTTGAGAAGTGTACCCTTTCAATCATGAAATCGGTCTGCAGACTACCCTTATTAAAAAAACAGACTATTGTAACCAGTAGGCTCAATTTGTTATTTAACAAATCCCCTGACAGAACTCTTCTGACAAAGACAAACGGCCTCAGTCAATGTTTCTTTCAAACCTCCGTGTTTTCATGAGGAGTTTGTGAGTGCCGGCGCCAGGCAGACAGACCAGGAGACCAGAAAACTGCGGGGAGTAGTTTCCTACTGTTCGGAAGGTGAAATACGACCATTTCTGTTAATGTCAAGATCATACAGATTAAATCTAAAACCGCTCAATTGGTGATTTAGACCTATTTTTAGACCTTTGGTCTTAAGTTTGTGGCTGTGATCTTTACAGAAGGGTGGTATGTCTGACCTTGCACGCCAGGAGAGTCGCTTTGTTGTAAATCTGTTCCTCGTTAATACTGTTAGTGTTACGTAATGAATATGGTTGGAACATTCCCAACTGGACTAACTAGGCGTGGTTTTGGCTGATTGGAAAAACGACATATTATCGGGATCTGGGTAGAATTTCGAAAGTGAAGACGACATCAGCAGGTATATTAAGCAATGCTGGCGGTTTCATGGATGATATCCGTGTGAGAAACCTACCTCATCTCCAAGCAGAGGTTGGAATGAAAGATCGTATTAAATGTTTTCTGAGTGACTGTCGGCTTCTCTGACAGTCCTTTACCCCATACAGGAAGATAGAAAGTCAAAGAGCCTGCAGTACCGCCCGCGGCCGCCTCCAGAAAAATGGCTTCGACCGACCGTAGTCAGTCAGAAATGGGGAGGGTAAGGTAAAGGGGTTGATGTTTTTGGTTTCTTTGAGTTTGTTTCGACCCTAACAATGACTATATTTTAAAAGACATTTCACCAAGAAAAAGCAAAGGTACAAAATGTATTTTAGGTCATAAATGACACGTTTCCTTATCTTTTTACCAGTATCAAGTGTAAATGCCCTGTAAATTATCACACTTTGAAATGCGACCACGTTCAAATTTATCTTCCATGTTGTGATAAGAGTCATAAACATTGAACAAATGTAAACTGTCACATTGTTTAAAAAAGTCAAATCAGCCTTAAGAATTCAAAACCCCTCTGCGAGCCTTTCGTAATTTCCCCATACCGGAAAAGACGGAAATTCGACGGCGGTTTAAGCTATTTTTGAAATGCGACCGAGAGCGGTACTGCAGCTAAGGCTCTAATAAAGTATACCGGAGTAAACCATTAGGTTTGAAGCCAGTGAAAACTTTCTCAAATTGGTCCAAACATCTTTCCATATATCTGTAATGACCTTTAAGACTACGGGACATAAAAAGGATCGATTTTTTGGCACAGCGTGAGACCATGTAACACCGTTCCCGCCCGTCGAAGCGCCACCTACATTATATTCACATTTACATCATATCTTGTACGTAATCGATAAATCAAGGATATATGTGGACTGTATCCGCACATAAACCATATGACATATCCATTTATGTAATAAATATCTGGACACCACGCCGCAGAATTATATAACAGGGCTATTACGGTCATACCTACAATTTTACGTAACATAAATCAATAGACAAGTCCATAGTGCAACGGATCTACGTACCGATATAGCAAGATACAATTATGATCGATCTACTTTGATGTACTTTGATGTGTCTTTGATGTACCGACTTTGATTTCATTTTTTAGCCTCATTCATAACCACTCAGTTACATGTAGCTACCCTATATCTATATCCTTACTTAGCTCAGAATCATGACATAATCTTAGTAACTTCAATATTAAAACGACAATACTAGTGATGGGGCAGAGGGGAAAGTCGACCAGACCAAACCCCCAGTCCCGTCATCACTAGTTGGTTACTATTTAATAGCATCACAGTCCTGCTTGTGAAACACAACACGCCTGTAGCTTCCGTTCCAAATAATCAAACGACATGTATTTGTATAGCACCGCGCTATTTCGGAGGAGGAGAATAGCTTTATTTAACTACTATGTCATCTATTTTTGATATGGTACTGGTATTTAGAGCATCTTGAAGAAAAGTTTCTAAAATAAGCCGATGAGTGTAGGGTGGCCGGTCACGATGGGTCACAATTTCAAATGAAGTGAAGAAAATGGAGTTCTAACAGGATGTTTAAAAGCATCGATATCCTCCAATGACGCGTAGATTGACGGCGGGTCACAGTCGGTCAACAGGTCAATGGGCCAATACCTTGCCATGGGTTAAGTCCTGGCCCAGTCAGCTTGATGAGCAACTACAACAAGGCGATATCGTCGTCTTCCACCAGTGCTTTGTGCTATCTGTAGCCTTCAAGCTGACACCAGTGCACAACAGATTTACAAGTCGAAGCATTCCAGATTAATGAATGAATGAATGAATGAAGACCTTTATTGTACATTTTTGCCCCACTGGGCTAAGCACAGGTCACATTATACATATTCGATATATAATGGTGGATAGAGACAAACTGTGGAACGGGACCTGTTGTTTAATAGTGGGAAGGAGGAGGGACACAGCAAGGAGTCTGGTGGCTGGGAATCGTCCCAACCTGGCCGGGTGGTAGATGAAGCAAATTAAAGAGACAAGAGTTAACATTATAAAGAATACCATGAAGTTCTTACAGTACTTGGTGCCTTTGAAGAACACATCGACCTTGTTGTGAATAAACTGTCATCGTGGGCACAAAAGTTCCCGCGGTTTCTTCGCCACCGCGTGCGCCCTGTCTTCCGTGTCTGTGTGTCACGTGCCATGTGTCATTCCGCAGAGGGTCTCCTCCTCCTGCCCCAGAAGTGTTTGTGTCATGTTTCTCACATGAAAATCTACCAAGGCACCTTTGCTCTCTCCAATCCACTTAAAATACCGACATGTCCCTCAAGATGCGCCCGTATGCGATAAGGAATACCGATAATAACCCGGGAATGGTCATTTGGACATTCCATCACCAGGAGTACGAGGGAATGGATATCCAGACTACACGTGGTCGCTAACCACTCCGGAAACTGAGACAGCGGTACGGTACAGAGTCAATCGACCTTGGACGATGAAGAGATGTCGTTGCCGCGTTCTTATCTCTTCTTCGATGTATTGTCAAATCACAGTTTCATTGTCATCTCGTTCTATCCGACTACAACCACCTGTATCGAGAGAGTAAACTCGTGTGCCTCGTGCTAGTAACACATCTGACCACACGACTTTGTGTGTCTTGACTGACAGGTCTCCCATATGTAGAAGGTTACTAGTATTCGTGACCTTATTATATCACATGTTACGTGTTTGGGCGACGACGCTAAAAATATGGCAATGTCGTCATCTAACCAGTCTCGTCCATCCATCATCCTCCGCTAGTGCAGCAGGTCTGGCCCTGGTCTGGCCGGAAGGGCACGGGCTCTCCCGCCTCTCTTGGCAGTTATTCAAGCCTTCGTCAAGACCTCCCGGTCCTGACAGACTCTGCAGCAGCGTGGCGTTACCAGCGCTCATCTGACCTACGGCACTTTGCGGGCGTCCGAGCGGGGGCGCCTAACTGCCCTGTCTCCCCGAGAATTTTGCTGGGTCGACAGAGATTCTTTTTGAAGGGTCCCCTCGCCACGTTTGCACATGTTGTTCTTGGCAAGAGTGCTGGAGCCGCTCCAATTCACCAGCGGATAACATATCTAGCCGGCGCTGACGCCACGCCGGAAGGTGGCAAGCGCTAATGAAGTATGTGCCCTCACCAAGACAAAGACGTTTATAACGAGGTCACAGGGAGACCTGTCAGCACGTCACGTCGCTCAACAGACTTGACTCTACTTTTAGCTTCAAGCGCGCCCTCTCCATAGGAAACCATAACCCACAACCGGACTCAGGGTTGGCAATCAAAGAATATCCTGATGGGCGGACCGGCTGAGTACGTGTTACCACAGGTGCGATGGGGCTGCGACGCGCAGGAAAGACGCGTGGTCGCCACCACTGTCGCACGGTTGATGAAATGGGGGGAGCATTAGGACATAAGGGGTCAGGAGGGAATGCCCTCCATTGGCACATCTTAACTAGAACATTCCGAAACGGCAACTTGAATGCATTCCCAGTGGGTCAAAACGACATTCGTAAATCATGGTGATCTTTCATTTCCAGCTCCCCAGTGAGGGCGATGAACTTCTCACATAAATCCACAGTTGTTCACTCGTTCAGAGATATTGAATCGCCAAGTGACGAAAATTAAGGTTCCATCTGAGGAAAAGAGAAACCGTATTGTGATGACGTACAAACGTCGGGGATCGTCGGACCTGTCCCCCTGTACGTTACGTGTCTCTGGACGTAAATAAGGCTTAAAAACGGGCCATGATTACGGCACTGTCTGTCACACGGGGACTAAGTCTGCAACTTAAAGACCTTCAAATTTGCCTTTCAGGTCCATTAAGATTCCCCTCCATGCGTAACTTTGAAAACTTGTCCCATATGTTTATAGACACTGTCTTGAGCGTTCAAGTATTTGGAGGATTTAAACTTCTTTAATGGATAAGGACATTGTAGCTTGGACTCCTCGCCTCGGCGAATTTGATTTGAAGGAATGCGGTGCCTATTTAAAAGATTTGTTGTGTCCATACCGTTTATTTGTTGGTCCTCAATCAACCGTGATTATCACTGTCCAAATTAATTGGAGTTGATGTGTTTTGAGACAAACTTAGGACCTGCTAAATAACGTGCCGTTATAAGTGGAACTGCGCAGTGTTTATAATGGATGTTTACGTACTCAAGGCCGTAAGAAAGTTCTCTGTCTCGTAAACAGGTCCCCTTAACGTAAATTGGAAGCAAAGTTTTATTTGGCTTCCATGAAGGCACGTAGTAAGTGTTTTCTACATTTGGGGTCTCGGTTCTAGGCACATGGGCGTCAAGTCGTAAGTTGTTTAATTGACTTCAGTTCTTCTGTTTCGCTGGGATAGCTGAAGGGCCAGGGATACCACGTGACGACTGCGTGGTAAGCCTTAAAGGCGTGGTGCAGCAGCAGAATCGTTCCGCCCCCAATGTTCACCCATTCACCTGCCGACGTAAGCTTGGCTAGTGCCCCCTGCCTGCCCCAGGAACGGCTCGGCGTCACTTGTCGGCCCCGCTGACATAAAATCCTGTCATTAAATTCCACCCATTTCTCGCGGACTAATCTACTGTGGCCGAGGTAAACACGGTCCTGAGCCGTCCCTGCGGCAGCACCAAGCCGGAGTGGTTCCCAGGGCCCTGGGGGAGGGGGTCCGGTCGGCGGAATTCCACCCTTTGATATGGCGATATCGGGTTTATCTGGTTGAAGTGGTCGCTCGCGCGTTCCAGGGGGTGGTGTATATAAAGCGCGCGTGCCACCACTTGATCGGAGGCTCCGTGCAAGTAGCCAGGATCCGAGCGCCTTCAGGCAGCGATCACACCCTTCCAGCACTGAACATTGCGCAGCTTCTGCATCGAACCAGTTGAGCGCTGCACAGGAGAGGACTACTCCGCGGTGCAAAATGAAAGGGCTGCCGAAGTTGGCAACGCTCCTGGTCGGCCTGCTGCTGACGGGGTTGGGGGCTGCCGTACAGTTCGACAACTTCGAAGGTCAGTATCGGGCAATTTCTCCTCCGAGCAGGCCTAGCTTGGACTTGACCATATCATGATGTAGACTTGCTATACTAAACTAGAGATTTCCATTGCGTTATCAAATCCCCGAGACCCGTTTCTCCTCTCTCAGGCATAGAGCCGGATTGTTGAACATTGTAAGAATTTATTTTGTCAATTCCTGCCATGACTGGAGTGAATGCCGCATCAACGTATGGCATGAGGTAGATATGGACTGGATCTGTGTCACAGGGGTCAGTTTGTTGGCAAACGTGCAGCGTGGGCCTGTGACGAACCCCTGCAGCTGGGCCGACACGCCGCTACGCCCGACTTTGGGCACCTGTGTTTTAACGTCCAACAGGGCCAGGGAAGACGCACCTTCGCGACATTGCTAAACGCACGCGAGTTTCGGTGAGCCAAAGTTGAGAACGCTCCTCATCCCTGAATATTTGTTCCTAGACATGAAAGTCGATTGAAATGGCTCTTGGCCGGTTCGTGTTCGCACCATCCTTTGGCAGAAATAGTCCAATTGTGTGCCAGACAAATTGCAAACTTATCGGGATGATAAGCAAGGAAAGTCGCACAGACGGGCCTTCGTCTTACCGAGTCGTTATCACAAGAACCTTAAGTCCCTTTAAGAGTACCAGGAGTCTTAAAGGTTGACTAGCGGCAATGACAATTGGGAGCGCTTAGTATCAATCACATAATTTTCAACGTCCTATGTTCTCTGAGGACGGCGGCACAATGAGTAAGC